GAAGAGTTGACTCATTGGAAAAGACCCTGATGCTGGGAGGGATTGGGGGCAGGAGGAGAAGGGGATGACAGAGGATGAGATGGCTGGATGGCATCACCAACTTGATGGGCATGAGTTTGAGTAAACTCCGGGAGTTTGTGATGGACAGGGAAGCCTGGTGTGCTGCGATTCATGGGGTCGCAAAGAGTCGGACATGACTGAGCAACTGAACTGAAACTGATCCCCGTGGACTTCCCTGGTGGATCAAATGGTAAAGAATCCACCTTCAATGCAGGACACCTGGGTCCAACCCCTGGGTCAGGAAGGTCCCCTGGATGAAGGGAATGACAACCCACTCCAGTATTCTTGCCTGGAGAATTCCATGGACAGAGGAGCCTGGCAGGCTACAGCCTATGAGATTGCAAAGAGTCAGGCACAACTGAGTGACTAAACACACATGCACAAAAGCTGGTCCCCAAGACCAGTGACAGCATCAGCCTTGGACTATCTTTTCCACGTGGACCCTGGCAAAGAGTGTAAGGTATAGGAAACCCTCACTCCTTGGGGGGCCCTTCCTTTTCAGGGTGACTCTTTACTTCCTGGACGCTGTGCCTTGTTTTCTTTCCCCCTGTCACTACTCTTGAGAGAAATCTTCAACCTTTGATGAGGATGTGGATGGCTCTACTGCTCAAGATGAACTTCATGAAGACCCCTGTGCACTGCATTTAAGCTCAGTGAAACCAGTGTGTGAGGGCCCAGCCTTGGGCAGGAAAGTCCATGCCACTTCTTGGAAAGCCCCGGACCATTATCACAGGGCTTCCACTCTCATCCCCACTGGGAAAGAGGAACATGGAAGCCAAACATGTGCATCTACACATACGGGGAATGAATGGGCCATCTACACACACTGGGAGGGGTAGAGCTAGTCTGTCTACACACCAGAGAGCACAGTCCATGAACAACCATGGGGGGAAGGCAATCATGTCTGAATAGTAGATAAGCCACCAGAATTTAAGGAGATGGCCAGAGAAGAAATGGGCAGAATTATGGAAACAAAAGACCATAAAGAGACTAGGAGACAAGAGTTAACAGTGGTGTGGATTTTCTCTAAAACAAGAATAATCCCACCTGGAAGTCATATATGTGTAGACTCCTCCCACACACACTGCTGGCCCCTGCAGGGGTAGGGACTCCCGCCACACTCCCAACCAGGGCTGGGACCTGTGTGGCTCCTTCAGTTGCTCGCAGAAGTTTCCGAGAGGTGAAAGCTGCCCACACAATCGGAGCCCTTGCCCTGGGGGATTACAGTGTATTATGATATCTGACTCAGAAACACACCAGATCATTCTTTTCACTGTGCCTTTGTGTGTGTGTGCACCAGGAGAACTTTTGGGAAAAGTATTACTTTCAGTAGCTTTTCTGCAGATTCTAGTGGGAGAGGAGTGAGCCAGGAGTTTTAACACATTTTCTGTGAGTTACATCCTTTATTCAGTCGCTGGTAATAATCTGCTTTCATCCTTCTCCTCCCCACACTGCTCTGCGAGGTGGAGCACCATGTTATCTTCTGTCGCCTCCCCCTGTTGAGAGGGGAAACGTGCACAGAGATGAGAGAGGGGCTTGCTGGATGGATATGGGGCTTTTGAATAATTCACTAAGGAAACTATTTTCTAAGGATCTAGGTCTTTATAAATAGACACTGATTAATCATTGTACGAATGAGTGAGCAAATGAAAGAAGGAACACACAAATGCCCGCACAACAGATCTTGTTTGTTTGTGCCTCTTAAAATGTGCTGTGCATGGACCTGGATATAAACATTTATTGATTTATATGCTTGCTTGAATGTATTTTAATAACTTACTCTGGTGCCAATTTGTAGCCGAGGTTTACAGTGAATTTTTCATTGTCACCACGAATCATAAGAGAAGTGCTCTTCAGTTATAGCTGTCCAGGGTCAAACAGGCAAAGGCAACGTGACCATCCATGACAGTATGCATGCAGTGTTCACAGGTATAATATATAACCAACACAGGAAGAATGCAGTTCTTTATTACCCAGGAAGTTGTACATTTATGTGTTTATGGAGCTTTAGGACGTGTTCGTGTTGGTTTAAGGCCATATAGAAAGCAGTCAGCTTCATCTCCTAGAATTCTCTCTGCATACTTAACAGATACAATTTCTTTTTCTCCAACTTTCTAAAAAATTAGTATTTTTCACCTTTGAATATTTAAATAAATGCAAAATGTTTCTCCTGGAGAAAATTTTCTCCCATTGAACCACAGTGCACTCCCTAAGCTGCCCAGGTGCAAGCTTGATGTAGGTGCTCAGTGGTTAGATACATAGGCCCAGCTCTGTCAAGGAGCAAATGGAAATGCAAATATCAACCAGCCTTTTTATTAAAAAGTGTTTTGAGTTCTGATGAATTGTCATGACACAAATATTTATTTGCTGACTTTATTCACATAACTTGAGAATGAAGCTAAGGCTGTGTAAGTGAGAAATGTTCTAGAGTTGAACAAAGCAAATGTTCGTTAAACAAGGCATCTCTGATGAGAAAGCAAATCATTCATTTGAAATAGTGCTCTATTTTTCAAAATCTAAATCTTAAAATATTTCACAAAGCTCATTGCCTGTTTTCGTTTAGAAGCCTTGTAACTCACTGGACCTGGGCGCAATAGCCCCCAGTGAGAAGGAGCGCCCTCTAGGGGCAGAGGTCACAAGTGCGGGAGTCAGAGCTGGCGGACTCTGCTCCTCCGCTGCCTCTGGGCCTGACAACGCTGCGGGGGTACTTAGTGCCTGACCTTCAGCTTCCTTGTCTGAAAAATGGGAGTTGGGCATGCTTTCCTCACAGGCTAGTGTCAGTGATTGAATGAGGAAAGCACTTGACTGCGTGTGTGCTAAGTCACTTCAGTCGTGTCCGACTCTTTGCGACCCTGTGGACTGTAGCCCACCAGGCTTCTCTGTCCATGGGATTCTTCAGGCAAGAATACTGGAATGGGTTGCCATGCCCACCTCCAGGGGAGCCTCCTGACCCTGGGATCGAACCTGAGTTTCCTACATCTCCTGCCTTGGCAGATGGGCTCTTTACCACTAGCGCCACCTAGGAAGCCCCCATGTGCCGGGTACCACAATGTCCTGGCGACAGCTCTTAGGTTCAGTTTGTAGTTGTTTATCACTACGCTTCTTTGCTGCTGGTGATGTGTTCTCAGCACAGACTTTCCTCCAGTGTCTTGAAATTAGACTTACTGAATGCTTACAAACTTTCATGAAAGCCAGCCCTGAAAATAAAGTCATAGGCTCAGAACAGATAACTGTTTCTCATGGTGAATATAAAGACTATGTCATTAATTGTATTGACCTTAAACCTTCTCGGAGAGAAGCAGGCTTGGGGAGTTGAAGATTCAAGTGGGGAAGTTGCAAACTACGTTTTTGTGAAAGCGGTAATAAGTGGTTTACAGTGTTCTGTGGAAAAAAGGAATCCAAATACACGTGTATTTATTTCTTGTTTATTTTTCAACAGGTTTTCTCCAGGTGAAACATTTTGCATTTATTTAAATATTTAAAGGTGAAAAATAATAATTAAAAAGACTTGGAGTCTTCCTTGAAAAGATTAAGAATCTATCCCCCAAACACACAAAAATAACATCTGTGCCCTCAAACACAGAGCTAGGTACTGCACACTCCTGCTTTGCATTTTGGGTGAGAAAACAAAAGCCTGGACCACAGAGGGGTACTTGTTTCAGGCCGAGTCCAGTGCATTCTGTACACACCTCCCTGCTCTGCTCAGACTCGCCCCCACCCCCACTCCCATCTGGCCCCTCCCCCACCGGAACTTGCTACCAGATTCTAGCACCTCTCCCGAGAAGTTGTCAAAACACTCGCTGTTCTCTCTGCAGGAGGACACCGCCTTCTGCCCCCATGTCGCCACCTTGGAAGGACTGACTGACCCCAGCAGCCCGTGCCATTCCCCGCGCCCACCATGGGATCCGAGGGAAGCTTGCTGATCGAGGGACAAACACAGATCATCCTCTTGGGGAGCCTGGCATCTGTGGCCACCTTCTTCCTCATCACCTTCCTCATCTTTCTGTGTTCCAGTTGCGACAGGTGAGAGTGACGTGTGTCTACTGGAGCCTTAAAATAACACGTTCCTGGGACCCAGAAGACTTTCTGTATTAAAAAGCCTGTGATGGATGGCATCCCACTGCATAGACGTTCACAGACACTCCTATGATTAACTGCCTTCTCTCCTGCAAAGGGGCCGGCCCAGGACACTTTTTATTAGCTCAATGAAAGGCCATATTTGGTTTTCCTGGGGAGCAACTGGAAGAGACCTTATATATGAAAGACCTATGAAACTTCCCAGAAGGAACTTTTTGCTATTCTCATGAGCACACCCATGTCTAAATTTATATTGTCTTTTTCCATCTGTGGACATTTGGAAATCTAAGTACGATGTATATTAAACACACTTTTTCTACCATTTGAGAGTTACTGAGAATTTTTGCTGCTCTGTAGCTGTGGAGGGGTCATTTTATTAAAGATTTGTAATCTAGAACTGCAGTTTCTTAAGAAACAGATTTTTCTAAAAGGGAAATATTCTGTGCATGAAATAACCATCTTGTCTTATTTTAGAATTGTACTTCTCTCTCAACTCCTTCATATAAAATGTGTAACCCTCCCACCAAAAAAAAAAGGGGGGGGGTGGATCTTAGGTTGGAGAGAAGCAGAGTCCTTCCGAAGCCAGAGTGATTTTCCAGGTGTTCAGCATTGTTATGACATATGCCGCTCTCTGGTACACTGGCTGCTACTGGAGCAGCCAGTGAAGACCAGCTGGCAGCCAACCCTCTCCTCAATAACCTTGGAAGAAAGTCGCCAAGTGTCATTTAAAAGTCCGTATATGGCTTCCTGCGCTGAAGTCTCTGTCGAAAAGAGAAAATCTGGAGTCCCTGAACTCAAGTAGTGCCAGGGGCCGTGCCAGTTCGGACCCAGGTCTCCTGAGCTGGGAGAGAGACCAGCTGGCCGGGAAGATGAAGAAATAAGACCCGAGAGGAGAGGAGCGTCTCCTGGGCCTGGGAGGGCCTGCCTCTGTAATTATTTACGCTCCCGCTAGGTGTCACTGTTGCCTTATACATCTATGGGAAAGGTAACCTCTAGTACTGATGGCTTTCTTTAGCCTGTCCTGAGTAAAAATAAATTCTATTTTTACTGGATGGACTTTTCCATAGTCTGGAAGTACACATGACTCATCCTGAGAGCATGTACCCTTCCCAACAAGCCAAAAGTTGTATTTTCTTTATTTTCTCAATCCCTTGGCAGTGTGTGACTTTGCAAAGACTGAATTAAGAAAAATGAAGATGTGAGAATTGTCTGAACTTCCTTAAAAATTAAAAAAGAAAGAAAGAAAGAAATCATCCCAGTATTCTAGATATAAACAGCTCCTACTCAGGAAACTGCCCCCGTCCTCTTGTTAACATGTATTTTCTACTCCTGGAGGAAGTGGAGGCAAGAGAGCTGGCCAGCCCCTTGCTAGGACTTGACCCCCTCAGACCCTGCCACCTGCAGAGGAGGGGTAAGTTGTCTGGCTTCTGGTTTCTCAGCGAAATAAACTTGGTTCTTTATCAAAAGAGAGATTTAAGTGTTGATACAGTTTGGATATTTGATCTTATTTGATTTTAGGTGGCACGTTGGATATTATAGCCATGTTTCCTTTTCTGTTTCAGAGAAAAGAAGCCAAGACCGCACAGCGGGGACCATGAGAACCTGATGAACGTGGTGAGTGTGCATGCACGTGTGTGTGTGTATGCACACATGTGCACTTTAAGGCATCAGCCACTTCTCTCAGCAGGTCCCTGCAAGCTCACAAGCTGAGGGAAGCAACTCAGCCAGAGTTAACTGGCTGCTGGGCTGTGCCCTCATACTGCAGATTTATTTTCCCTGTGGCTAGCGTGTGTGCATGCTCAGTCACTTCAGTTGTGTCCGGCTCTTTGCAACCACTGCTCGAAAGATGCTCAGATAGTTCCAGCTTACCGCAGGGATCTTTCTGTTTCGCCTCTGCCCAGCTCCAGCCGGTTTATTAGTTGGCCACAGCTGTCATAACAAAGGACCGCAAGCTGAGTGGCTTAAATAATAAGTTTATCATCTCAGTTCTGGAGGCTAGAAATTCAAGATCACAGTAGCAGCAGGCTTTGAGGGTGAGTGTGTTCCAGGCTGCTCTCCTAGCTTCAAGTGGTGGAAGCACCTGCCTTTGGCGATACTTGGTTTGAAGACTGCCCTTACTGTCGTATCTGTCCCTGTGACTCTTCACACCATCTTCCCTCTGTGTGTGTTTATGTCTGTCCAAGTTCCCCTTTTCGACGGCCTCTGATATGACCTCATCCCTCATCTTAACCTGTTTCATCCGCAGTGACCCTGAGTCCATAGGAGGTCAGTTCTGAGGTATTGAGGGTTAGGACTTCCCTATAGGAATTTGGGGAGGATGAAAATTCAACCCATGACAGCTGATCAGTAAGCTCACAGGAGCCTGAGACCCAGCATCCTAGATGGCCTGGCCGGGTTTTCTTGCTCTGTGTCCTATAGGGCCCTGACAAGCCCTAAGGGCCTCTGGGATCCACCCAGGTGGGGAGCAGCTTGACCGTCCGGGTCCCACCTTGTTCCCCTCAGGCCTCTGCCCTTAACTGGCCGAACAATACTAACAGCTGGGGATGGGCCACCCTCGAGTTGTCGCTGAGTCACTAAGTTGTTGTTGAGTCAGTCATGTCTGACTCTTTGCGACCCCGTGGACTGTAGCTCACCAGGCTCCTCTGTCCATGGGATTCTCCAGGCAAGGATACCGGAGTGGGTTGCCATGCCCTCCTCCAGGGGATCTTCCCAACCCAGGGACTGAACCCATATCTCCTGCTTGGCAGGTGGATTCTTTTCTGCTGAGTCACCAGGGAAGCCCCTGCCTTCATATACACAGGATAAAACTGCGAAGATGCTTCCTCTCCTAGATGTAATTTCTCAAGAACAACTGTAAATCTGTCAGGGGAAGAAGGGGCAAAAAGGAAGGATGGATGAGTGAGGGATGTCACGTGAGGTCTGGAATGAGAAAAGCAGCCAGCAGTCAGCTTCCGAGCACAGCCACCCCCCCCACCCCCCGCCCCGCCCCAAGCAGGCGTCTCCAGTCCCGGGCGCCCTGCGCTGTGAATGTGGAAACTCTTCCAGCCCAGGCAACAAAGTGGTCAGATGACCTCTCCTAGGAGCCCCTGGGGATCCTTCCTTTTGTCTCTGTGCAGGCGACTCACCCACCACCTCTTCCGGCTTCTCATCACCACCCTCTCTCTGACCCTCACTTTGTTACCCCCACCGCAGTCTCCGGTTGTCTGTGTCCCCACTTCTCACCCGTCCCCAGCACCTCTGTTAGACTGTACCCAGAAGGTAGGTGGGGGAGAAGGTGGTGCCTCTGCTAGAGCTTCACCCACATGCAGGTCCAGGGGTGACCCAGGGGAAAGTGGGTCCCCTTTCATGCGATTGAAACAGTTGACTCCCTGTAAGCTTCTGGAGCATGATGAGCGTGAGCTCCGTACTCTGTTATTATTTTTGTGGTTGAGTCATCAAGTCGTGTCCAACTCTTTGCGACCCTGGACTATAGCCCACCAGGCTCCTGTGTCCATGGGATTTCCCAGACAAGAATACTAGAGTGGGTTGTCATTTCCTCCTCCACGGGATCTTCCTGGATTAGTGATCAAACCCGTGTCTCCTGCTTGGCAGGTGTATTCTTTACCACTGAGCCACCTGGGAAGCCCCCTCTGTCATTATTACTTGGTTGCCAGTCAGGAGTCAGAGAATTTGAGAAGCCAGGTAGCCAAGGTTGTGGTGCTATTTACATCAGAACTTCCTGTGTGGACTTCTGGAGCCTGGCCAGTGTGGCCACCTGGGTCCTGCATGCACTCCATGAGCAGGATCGGGGAGCAGATCATATCAGCAGTGATTCAGCTGCTACGTGAGACAGGTGGCGTATTTCAAGAAGTATGTGATCTAGCAACTTACTTCCAACTGTAGCTCAGCCTTGCGTATTATGCCCTGTATTGTCCACTCATGCTGAGAAGCCCAGTGGAAAATGATCAATGCCATTCTTCCCCCCAACGGTCCTGAATTTGTTTGTGAGAATAATGAAGGTTTGCAGACCTAAGTTTTAGCATACAACAGTTTTTGTGAACCTTCAAGCAGAGACTTGGCTGATTATGAACATCTCAGATGTCGGTGACATTTATCTTTGATCAGATTTAAGTCTCTTCCCTTCAGATGACAGAGGTGATATTTTCCCTTGTTTTCCTCAGCATGACACTCCTTGAAAAGGGTAACATTTCCAGCATCTCTGGGAGAAAGATGAGGCTGCTGTCTGCTGGAGCTGATTCTGATCAGCCCTGGGGCTTCCCCGTCCTGCCTTGCCTTGAGCTAAGAGACTGACTCCCCACGACCTACTATACCCCATTTGTGATCTCGGAAGGGGAGCTCTGTGGGTGGCAGCTTCGGAAGATTCTCAGGACAGCTCTGTCCAATAGAACCTTCCACCAAGATAGCTCAGCTGCACTGACAGAATGGCCGCGACCCACGTGTGGCTGTTGAGCCCTTTACATGCAGCTGGTCCAACTGAGGAACTCCATTTCATTTCATTTCACTTAATTTGCATCTAAGTAGCAGATTTGGGTTTTGTTGCTGCTGTTTTAATTTTTAGAAAAAGCCATGGAGGGAATTCCCTGGTGGTCCAGCCGTTAGGACTTCACGCTCTCACTGCCAAGGGCTGGGATTCAATCCCTGTTGGGGAACTAAGACCCCACAGGCTGTGCAGTTTGACCAAATGAATAATATAAATAAAACAACAACAAAAAGGCGTGGCTATTCCCCTCTGCCCCGCAGTCTGACTCGCTTGGCGCCTTTGTTCTTGCAGCCTTCTGACAAGGAGATGTTCAGCCGCTCTGTCACCAGCCTGGCCACAGATGCGCCCCCCAGCAGCGAGCAGAACGGAGCTCTCACCAACGGAGACAGTAAGTGCTGCCCCAGCTCCAGCTGTGGGCAGGCCTCATTACCTGCGAAAGGACTAGAAATGTAGCTCAGAAAGGTCAGAAAATGTAGCTCAGAACACCACTGCAGTTACCGTCATCATTTCTTTATAATACCAGCTCCTGCTCCTGCCGGCAAAACTGCTAGAACCCCACTTGCCTGCATGATCTGGATGGAAGTACCTGGGAATTAATATCTTCCCCAAGTCAGCCCTTCACTGATGAGTGGTACAAGGAGGGGTCCCTTGTCCCGTGGCTGAGATAACTCGTAGGCCTGTTTGTTGCTCTGTTTTTCCAGACTTTTCCTGCAGGATTTGGCTCCAGTCACATATTTGAAGCTGGTTTATCAATGCAGGCTTTATTGGCTACCTTATCCACTGTATTTCTTATACCTTTCAATAAACCGTTCACACCTGAAAAAAGAAAATGTAGCTTGAAAAAACTAGGAAATATGTTCTTGTTCTCCTTTTGTATTACTGCCAGTTTTAGCAAAAATAATCTCATTTGGATGAAAAGTTAGTATCTATGAGTTGGCTGCGGTGTGCCATAGCACCAAGATCTGTATGTTTATGAACTCATGTATGCTAACAACTGTAAGATTACTGTTACCCTAAAAGATTACTATTACTAGTATTAGTCCTGCCCTGTAAGATGGAATTTATTACTGTCCTCAGTTTACAGATGAGGACATTAATTGCTGCTGCAGCAAATGACCACAGTTAGTGTCTGAGAACAGCACAGATTAATTTGCAGTCTGGGTATCAGAGTCTGAACCGGGTCTCCCTGGACTAACATCTATAAGTATTGTCCAGCCCAGTAGCAACAGGGCAGCGTTTCTTCCCCAGGCTCTAGGGCAGAATCTGGTTCCTCACCTGCTTTAGCTTCTAGAAGCTGCCCACATTCGTTGGTCCAGGCCTTTCTCTCCATCATCAAGCCCCTCTCAGGCTTTCCTGCCCCTTTCACTCACAGGCGTTAGCCGCTCAGTCCTGTCTGACTCTTTGTGACCCCATGGACTGTAGCCCACCAGGCTGCTCTGTCCATGGTATTTTCTGGGCAAAAATACTACAGTGGGTTGCCATTTCCTTCTCCAGGGGATCTTCCCCACCCAGGGATCAAACCCATGTCTTCCATATTGCAGGCAGATTCTTGACTGTCTAAGCCACCAGGGAAGCCCCTTCACTTATAAGGACCCTCCTAGTTACACTGGGCCCACCTGGATGCCCAGGTTCCTCCCCATCTCAAGGTCAACAGGTAGTTAGTTTATCCTTGTCCTTAATTCCTCCCTTGCCACGTAATGAAACACATTCACGGAATCTAGGGATTAGGACGCGGGCACGTAGGGGTGCATTATTCTGCCTGGCACGAAGAAGTTATTAACTTGCCTAAGATCTTATGGGCTATGCACTAAGGATCTGTAATGTGAACCTTTGATCTGAGTCCTAGGCACCCTGTCTACACGCTCACTGCCTGATGTGAATTCTGACAGAAGTCACAACTACATTTGTATGGTGCAGTTTACAGAATGCTTTCACCTGAAATAGCAAATCCTCTTCTTACCTCCATTTATAGACCAGGAAACCGTGGGGCAGTCAGGATTGACACCATGTCTTCAGATGCCAGTGATGGTTCTCTGTCTACCAGGACGCAGATGTCTAAATCCAGAGGGCAAAACACAGTGGGTGGTTGTGATAACTTCACAGATCAGAAGATCCATTATCAGTTTCCCCAGATGTTGTGTCCAATTCTTTGCGACCCCATGGACTGTAGCCCGCCAGGCTCTTCTGTCCATGGAATTCTCCAGGCAAGAATACTGTTGTGGGTGGCCATTCCCTTCTCCAGGGGATCTTCCCAACCCAGGGATTGAACCTGCATCTCCTGCATTGGCAGGCGGATTCTCTACCATCCGAGCCACCAGGGAAGCCCAGATTTCCACTAACAGTTACATCATGTACAGTTTGCAGCCTCAAGTCAAATAAAAAGTCAGTAGCTTAATTTTACCTCACTTGACATTATCCGAGTCACTGTAATGATTCTATAAGGAAGCGTCTTTCTCCATTTTTAATATTCCTGCTGCTTTAGTTCTTTCAGAAGACAGCACGGTGACCTGCATGCAACATTATGAGGAAGTCCAGACCTCAGCTTCGGATCTGCTGGACTCCCAGGACAGCACAGGGAAGCCAAAATGTCATCAAAGCCGAGAGTTGCCCAGAATTCCCCCTGAGAGCTCAGTGGACACGATGCACAATGGCAGAAGTGCGGATGGGGACCAGGGTCTGGGGATGGAAGGACCCTATGAAGTGCTTAAGGATAGTTCCTCGCAAGAAAACATGGTGGAAGACTGCTTGTATGAAACCGTGAATGAAATTAAGGAGGTGACGGCAGCTGCCCAGCCGAGTCGAGGCCACAGCGGCAGGTCAAAATTGACTTCTGGCGTGAAAGAGCTTCCGGGGCCGCAGGCCAACAGCAGAACAGACTTTGCTGAGTATGCCTCCGTGGACAGAAACAAAAAGTGTCGACAAAGCGTCAACGCAGAGATTCTTCTTGGAAATTCATGTGATCCAGAAGAGGAGGCCCCGCCTCCTGTCCCCGTGAAACTCCTAGACGAAAATGAAAACCTTCAGAAGGAAGAGAGTCAAGCAAGAGAAGAGGGAGCTGCGGAGGGGACCAGTGAGACCAACAAGGTGGGCTCCTGCACTTTTGTTTCGGACTTTTGTCCCAGCTGGGAATCTAGCTAAACCTGGGGCATTTGTTTGCACAGTATTTTAAGAAACACGCTTCACATGCGTTAAATGATAAAGGCTGTTTTCATGTAAGCTATGTTTGAATTTTTTTATCCCTCCAAGTAATAAAATACTGAAAACTCATGTTTACAAAATATTTCTGTCTTGGCACCTTGAATATTTTCCAGTTTTTGCATCATGTCTAATTGGGGCCAAGTATTATTTTCTTCATTTTGAAGACCAGGAACTAGAAAGAGGAGACTTAGCTGCCCATTTAGCCTCTTCTGCTTGTTGCCATCCCAAGCAGTGGGGTGATCCCCGCCCCTTTTCCCGGGGTCCCAGAAATCAGAGCCCAGGAACAAGCCTGCAGGTGCTGCCGGGCATATCTGGTAATGTATATAGACTTTTATAGGAGTCAAGAAAGAGATTTTATTTTATGACAATTTCTAAGCAATAACTTGTGTGACTCTTAAGTTTAGATGTCCAATAGAGCTCTAAAATGCAGTAAGAATCCCTGAGCCTTCTCTCTGTGTGTCCCATAAGCTGACATCTGAGCCACAGTAGCTTGGAATTCTCATCTCCAGCTGTCAGCATTACCTTGGGATTTTCTGTTCTCTGCAGAGACAACAGTAGGTTTCTCTTCTCAAGTTTCAGTGAAGTGAAGTCGCTCAGTCGTGTCCAACTCTTTGTGACCCTGTGGAATGTAGCCTATCAGGCTCCTCCATCCATGGGATTTTCCAGGCAAGAATACTGGAGTGGGTTGCCATTTTCTTCTCCAGGGGATCTTCCCAAGCCAGGGATTGAACCCAGGTCCCCCACATTGTAGGCAGACACTTTACCATCTGAGCCACCAGGGGCGTCCAGGTTTCGGTAGGAAGGCCAAGTAGGGGCTAGTCAGTCAAAAGCAGCCTTAGAAAGCTTGTGGGGTTCCTGATCAAAAGAGGAACCCTGGCTAGGGTTATATGTGCATGCTAAGTCACTTCAGTCATGTCTGACTCTGCAACCCCATAGACTGTAGCCGGCTAGGCTCTTCTGTCTGTGGGATTCTCCAGGCAAAGATACTGGAGTGGGTTGCCATGCCCTCCTCTAGGGGATCTTCCCGACCCAGGGATGAAACCTGCGACTCTTCTGTCTCCTGCATTGGCAGGTGGGTTCTTTGCCACTAGCGTCACTTGGGAAGCCCTTGTTCCAAGGGGTCATTCTGAATAGTGTCTCTGAATGTATTTCAGCTTTTCATGTTGTCCATGAAGTAAGCTGTTGATAGCACCAGTTAAGTGTTTATGAGCATGTTCATTAAAGGCAAAAATGCAGCTCAATTTTTTGCCCTTTGTATAAACCAAAGATAATAAAGCTAATGTGAAATTTATGCTGCTTAAAACAGTTAAACCTTTTTTTACTTACAAGCAGTTGATAGATAAGAGAGTTGATTGTCTAACCACTGCCAAGTAAGCAATTCCCCAGATGTCACATTAGAAACTGGAAATATCCATCTGGGAAACCAGATTACCTTTCTGTAGGAATATAAGGATGAATGATCCATCATTTCCATATAAACCATTCTCATTTTAAGTGATTGGGAGAACTTGAAATGCTTAATATTCATGCATTCATTTGCAAAAAGATTTTAATGAGCTTTTCCACCGTAAGCTGCAAGATCTAGGTACTGGGAATGCACTAGTGAACAAACATATAAATGAACAAAAATCTCTGCCCCTGTGCAGGTTACATTGTAGTTAGGAGATAAAGACATAAATAGATATATAAGTAAGGTGTATTTTTTATATATATACCTATATATAAAGTGAAGTTGCTCAGTCATGTCCGACTCTTTGCGACCCCATGGATTGTAGGCCACCAGGCTCCTCTGTCCATGGGATTTTCCAGGCAAGAATACTGGAGTGGGTTGCCATTTCCTTCTCCAGGAGCTCTTCCCAACCCAAGGATCAAAACTGGGTCTCCAGCATTGTAGGCAGACTCTACTGTCCAAGCAGCCAGGAAAGCCCCATATATACATATATATTATATAGATAACATCGCTGACTCAATGGACATGAGTTTGAGCAAACTCCAGGAGATAATGAAGGACAGGGAAGCCTAGCGTGCTGCAGTCCATGGGTTCAAAAAGAGTCAGACACGACTTAGTGGCTAAACAACAAAAGTATATCTTAGAAGGCTTTAAAATATAAAGGAAAAAAATCAGAAAAGATTCTGGGGGACTGAGAAAGTTGGGTAGGAGCACAGTTGTGAGGAGAGTGATCAGGGCATGCTGCCTTTGTTCAAAGGGGCATTTGAACAAAAAATTAAAAGGAGTTCAGAGAGTCAGTTGGTTCATGTTTGGGGGAAGAGCAAATGAAGTAGAGGGAACAGCCAGTATGAAGGCCCAGCCTCTCCAGGGACGAGGAGGGTATAGGTGTGGCTGGAGAGGAGAGAGCAAGGCTGAGAGCAGTTGGAAGAGAGATAACTGGGGGCCCAACCCTGCATGGCCTTGGCTTATAATCTGAATAAAATGGGTTGCTTGAAAGCCTCAAGCAGAAGGATGACTTCTGGCTTTAAGAAGGATCCTTCTGATGGAGTTGACGTTCACCTGTGAAGAATGGAAGCAAGGAGACCAGTTGGGTAGCCTTTCTAATAAGCAAGGCAAAAAACTCTTGTTGGATCAGGGTAGGAGCAGCAGAAGTAATGGGAGACACTGAACTAGAACCAGGAGATTTGTCGATGGGCCAGATGTGGATGAAAGGATGAGGAAACAGTGATGAATCCAGGGTGTGGCCTGAGTCCCTGAAAGTGTGGGACTGCCATGAACTGAAGTAGAAGGACCATGGGCCAAGCAAATTTGGGAGTTCGGGGCTGGACATATTGGTTTGAGATAGGTATTGGTCATCCAAGTAGCAACGTCAGAGAACAGCCGGATGGAGGAGCAGGCTTTTGAGGATAGGCCTGGGCTGGGCTTGTACATTTGCAAGTCAGCAGCAGAAATTAGCTTTTTCAAGCTGACATTGGGTGAGATCACTGCATGAGTGTGTGTGAATGGGGACTTTAAGAGTTCCAAGGACACAGGTCCAGGAAAGAAAGGAGCCAGCAGGAGAGAGGAAAATAGGAGAGAAAAACAGGAAAATTCAGTGTCCTAGAAGCCAAGGAGTGAGTGTTCAGGGAAGAAGGGGTGACCCTGCAGCACACACAGCAGGTGGGTCAGGAGAGAGCAGGGACACGGTGGGCATCAGCGTCCTTGGCAAGAGCAGTTTCTTTGGAGTCTAGGAGGCAGAAACTGGACTGAAATGGGTTTAGAGAGAGAATAGGAAGAGAAAAATTGAATGCTTTTTTTTTTTTTTGGACAACTCTTTTAAGAGGTTTTGCTGTAATGGAAATAGTAATAGAACTAGAAGGGTGGGTTGCTTTGGTTTGGGTTTTAGAATAGATAAATTATAGCCTGTTTTTATGTGGATGAGGATGACTCCATAGAGGCGAAAGTTGATGTAGACAGAATGGAGGGTTGCTGGCGCTTATATCCATGAGTAGGTGTAAGGGGTCAGGGTCTCCCGCACAGGAGGAAGGGATCGGCTTAAGGTGGAGCCTGGAAAGTTCACCTGTGGCAACCGGCAGGAAGGAAGACGCATGAATGCAGAGACTGGGAGTGTGATGGGGGAGGCAGAAGTTTATAGAAATTTCTTTTGATTCCTTCAGTTTTCTCAAGGTCCTCAGCTAGGGATGAGGTGTTGGGGGTTCAGGGAGAGAGGAGAAGACGTGAAGAAGGCAGCTAGGAGAGCAGGGGCCGGGGTTACTAGCAGGTGTAGGGAGATTGAGAGCAGCATTAAGGACTCACTTGAGGGGTGAGTCCTCCCGTGACCAGGACGGGAGTGGCGTACTTAAAGTATGACAGTGATGCCTGGCCATGGAGCTGCAGTTTGACAGGGTAGGAAGGAAGGACCCTGAGGAGAAGTGAGACATGGGAAAAAAATGGCTGGGGGCCCCACAGTTTTGCAGGCTTGTTGGAACTGGGTTATGGGAGGAGTAGGCGTGAACAGTGAGTGCTGGTCTGAAGGGGCCTGCCGGGAGATGGGATGGTGGGGCTGCTGTGGTTTAGGGTAAGAGGGGTCTGAGGTGCCGACTGAGCAGGAAGGTGGGGCAAGGACACATGGTCAGTGCAGGGAGGTCACGGGGTGGGGGCAGGTTTGGAAGGATACAGGTTGGTTGAAATCAGCAAGAATTCAGGCAGGAGAGGTGCTAAAGATTCAATGAACCCGGAGCCAGAATCATCAAGAAATGAGGCCAGAAAATATGAGTTGATTTCTCCACTAGTTGTTTAAAGTTTCCAGATGACTTAAGAATCTTTGTGATGACTCATGCAAACTGTAGAAATAAAAAATTTAGGGATTTGACAAACACCGTGGTATTTTTTCAGTCAGTTTTTCAATCTTTCATTGATGATCAATCCTTCAGTGATAATTAGGAATTGAAACAGTAATCTTTATAATCATTTGGTTTATCTAATGTAATACTGGTGGGTATATAAAATCATACTTATGTGTTTATTCCTGAAGTCCTTTATATAATTTCTCTGTAGAAAATAGTTTCTTTTCTAAAAATCATTTAAAAACATTTTTGTAGATAGATGCATCAAAGCATATGCCCCAAAAAAAGGTTTAATTATTGACTTTAAACTCCCTTCTCTTGATTTATTTTGTTCTAACAGAGACTTAGTTCATTGTCATACAAGTCCCGGGAAGAAGACCCAACTCTTACAGAAGAAGAGGTGAGTTTTGTTACTTTTAAATAATCAAAAATCTCTTTTAATAGAGAATCGCACTTCCTTCCTTAAGTAAATGCAGTGTCATGTTACCCTTCATCTAAGAAAGCTGAAGTAGACTCTTAGGCCTATGGTTGGAGATCAGAGTTGGTGATATTGGCATTATCGTGGTTCAGGGAGAGTAACTGGTGGATAGGAAGACAAGAAAGAGGACAAGAAGAACAAGGAAGCTCAATAGGGAAGAAGGAGAAGACAAATATAGAAAGGGGAGGGGAGGAAAAAGGAATGAGAAGAGAGAAATGTAAGTGTGTGAGCTTTAATCAGGGAGGAAGTTCCCATTAGAAGGAAGTTAATAGTTGTTTGGAATATGCAGAGAATTGGAACAGGTGGGTGTAGAGAATTTGCTCCAGGCTGGGAGACAGAAGAAGAAGGGCTTAGGCTTCTGGGAGACAGAGAGCAGGAAACTTCAAAAACATTTCCAGACTTTAAGTAGGGTTAGACATGGCCACCAACAAGAAAGGGTGATGTATTCTCCCAAGCACTGGGGCTAAAGAGTCATGGGTTAAACTTTCAATGAAGCATTAAAATTGTAAAAGCCAGTATTTATGGGATTTAGCAAGCTAGATGACGAACACCTTAATTTACCTAGCTACATAAAGCCACTTTCTGGCATGCCTGCTGCTGCTAAGTCACTTCAGTCGTGTCCGACTCTGTGCAATCCCATAGACGGCAGCCCACCAGGCTCCCCAGTCCCTGGGATTCTCTAGGCAAGAACACTGGAGTGGGTTGCCATTTCCTTCTCCAATGCAGGAAAGTGAAAAGTGATAGTGAAGTCGCTTAGTCGTGTTCGACCCTTCGCGACCCCATGGATGGCAGCCTACCAGGCTCCTCCATCCATGGGATTTTCCAGGCAAGAGTAATGGAGTGGGGTGCCGTTGCCTTCTCCATTCTGGCGTGCCTAGCTTAGTAAATTGTGTACGTGTACAAAAGCAATGTGGGCTTTCCAGGTGGTGCTAGTGGTAAAGAACTCACATGCCAATGCAGGAGACATAAGAGACACAGGTTCAGTCCCTGGGTCGTGAAGATCCCCTGGAGGAGGGCCCAACATCCCACTCCAGTATTCTTGCCTGGAGAATCCCGTGGACAGAGGAGCCTGGTGGGCTACAGTCCATAGGGTCACACAGAGTCAGACACAACTAAAGTGACTTGGCACGTACATACATGCAAAAGCAACATACATATGTGATGTTGCCCAGCCCCCACCGTGTTTCCTGCTCCAGGGAATGGAACTGCCATCTATCCACCTGGTTGCAGAAGCCAAAACCCTGGGGCCCTCCTGAACACCCCATTTTCCTCACTGTCTTCAGATGCAGCCAGTAATCAGGCCCTTCAGTTCCATCTCAGAAGTTAACTTTCATGTTCCCCCACCCATGTCCCTCTCCCCTGGGCCCACCCCTCACGAGGCTAATGCAGGGCCCTCCTACCAGGGCCCGAAGTGGCTCCTGTGCCGCCTCCAGCATTTTTCACTGTCCTGGAGCCATCCATTGGGGTAAGAAAATATTCTAATTCCCTGGCAGTTCAGTTTTTAGGACTTGGTGCTTTCACTGCTGAGGCCATGAGTTCAGTCCCTGGTCAAGGAATTAAGACTCTACAAACCAGGCTGAAAAATATATATGTATATATATATAAGAGATCTGGAAACTAATTCTTTAAAATAAATTGAGACTATGTGAAATTTTTAATTACTTTTCCTCTTATGTTGCATTTGTTTGTGGCTTTTGAAAATAGGACCCTGTTATACTGTTGAGTGTTTAACATAGAATACAGAACTGTGACTCCCATGTATTCATTCTAGGAAGAAGATTTAGGAAAAGTAAATATGGAGATCATTTATTTTTATATTCATGTGATATAATGTTAGTCCAGACTGAAACTGAGACCTGAATTTTAAGTACTATTATCCTAATTTAACAGAATGATGGGGGAAGGGTTGAGTATAAAAAGAAGAGAAATGAGGAAAAGAGGGTAATTTATGAGAACATAATAACAATTTACAGACTGAATAATAATGATGAAAGATGTTAAAGAGAAAAATTGCAAAGCTAAATAGTAAGAGGGCTTGAAGAGAAACCTTTTATTTATACAAAATAAAAATAATAGTCGTAGGAGACATATATTCAAAAAGAATATTACAAGGCTTGAGAAACGTTAATAAGATTTCAAATTTACAATGACACCCTCCCGCACATTTGGTTCATGCCCAGGGATAAATTGGGTTGCAAGTTAATGGAAGAGCCTGCAATTTAAAAAAGAAAAGACTGTAAAAGCCAAGAAGGCCCAGTGCTTACACAGAGTGAGGCCATCATGACAGAACCACGGGAAAGAAAGGAGGGAGAGAAACAGAAATGGTGGTGGGGGCCCGGCTCTCACTGTTACTCTCACAGATAGAGTTGTGTTTGTCTTCCTGATGTTACCGCTGAAGGTGAGGAATAAATATCCAGGACACCAGCTCCCTTCATCACTATCCATGCATGCATGCTTAGTGGCTCAGTCCTGTCCAACTCTTTGCGACCCATGGACCGTAGCCTGCCAGCCTCCTCTGTCGATGGGATTCTCCAGGCAAGAATAATGGACTGGGTTGCCTTTTCCTCCTCCTCCAGGGGATCTTCCCAACCCAAGGATTGAACCCTGGTCTCCTGCATTGCAGGCAGATTCTTTATCCTCTGAGCCACCGGGGAAGCCCTGTCATGCATGACTCACCCCTTTATAATCTGTCCATATTTTTGGCTTGGCCCACCTTTTAAACAGTGTCAGACTTTATTTTTTTGGGCTCCAAAATCACTGCAGATGGTGATTGCAGCCATGAAATTAAAAGACGCTTACTCCTTGGAAGGAAAGTTATGACCAACCTAGATAGCATATTAAAAAGCAGAGACATTACTTTGCCAACAAAGGTCTGTCTAGTCAAGGCTATGGTTTTTCCAGTGGTCATGTATGGATGTGAGAGTTGGACTGTGAAGAAAGCTGAGCACTGAAGAATTGATGCTTTTGAACTATGGTGTTGAAGAAGACTCTTGAGAGTCCCTTGGACTGCAAGGCGATCGAACTAGTCCATCTTAAAGGAGATCAGTCCTGGGTGTTCATTGGAAGGACCGATGCTGAAGCTGAAACTCCAATACTTTGGCCACCTCATTTGAAGAGTTGACTCATTGGAAAAGACCCTGATGCTGGGAGGGATTAGGGGCAGGAGGAGAAGGGGACAGCAGAGGATGAGATGGCTGGATGGCATCACTAACTCAATGGACATGAGTTTGAGTAAACTCCGGGAGTTTGTGATGTACAGGGAGGCCTGGCGTGCTGCAATTCATGGGGTCGCGAATAGTCAGACACGACTGAGTGACTGAACTGAACTGAACCTTTTAAATAAAGAGTTTCATATGTTGGCAAGTTGCTACAAAAAGCAGAGGCCTTGTTTTTTATTCTTCTGAAATGGAAAGATACTCTTAATTCCTCATTTTTTTTTCCATTTATTTTTATTAATTGGAGGCTAATTACTTTACAACATTGTTAATTCCTCATTTTGAAAGGAATTTTTTAGTTAAAATCCCTCAGGTGAGAATGTTAATTTAATATGCATGAAAATGGTTAAATCAACAGGGCAGGAGTTTCACAAAAATTATTTCTCTGACTCAAACCCTTTGGATTGTCAAGACCTGGGAAATGCTAGCCACCAGCCTGTAGGGAAAGTTCTCATGCAAATGACAGTTAGCATGCGCCAGGCATGTCTTAAGAAGCTTTGGAGGCCAGCTGGAAGCTTTCTGCCCAGCATGTGGATATGTGAGAGTAGGACATCTCCCTCTGCACTTGCAAAGCCAAGCATCTGTCAGAAAGTATGTTCCCTTATTTCCTGGGTGTTTTAATACATCAATTGCTGTGGCATAGATAACTGCAGGTAATGAAGGATATTTTTACTTATTTCCAACCATGATTTCTAACAATAAAACAATACCCTCCCTCCCAAATTTCCTAGTCAGTCCATTTTTGTATCAAAGAAAATGAAACCTCTCCCAGTATTTGTGGCTTTGTTATTGTTGTTCAGTTGCTCAGTTATGTTTGACTCTTTGCAACCCCATGGACTGCAGCACGCCAGGCTTCCCTGTCCTTCATCTCCCGGAGTTTGCACAAACTCATGTTCATCGAGTCGGTGATGCCATCCAACCATGTCATCTTCTGTCATCCCCTTTTCCCCCTGCCTTCCGTATTTGTGGTAAGATGAGGTATATTAGTGAGACTGAGTGGGTTTGCTTGGAAAACAGTCTGTTCTTCCCAAAGGAAAGAGTGTCCTCTAAGTTTTTGACTTTGGTGCATGAGAGGTGCAGTTGTGTCTGACTCTCTGCGACCCCATGAACTGTAGTCCACCAGGCTTGTCTGTCCATGGGATTTCCCAGGCATGAATACTGGAGTGGGTAGCCATTTCCTTTTCCAGGAAATCTTCCTGACCCAGGGTTTGAACCCATGTCTCCTGCATCTCCTGCACTGGCAGGCAAGTTCTTCACTACTGAGACACCTGGGAAGCCCATCCCCTAAGTTGATTGTCTCCCAGTATCATTTCTGTGTTGATTTCATATAAGAAGAATTTTCCTACTGAAGAAAACTTAGCCCCATCTCTGAATGTCTATTTAACCAATAGACTTCCCTGGTGGCTCAGATGGTAATGCATCTGCCTACAATGCAGGAAAACCAGGTTCAATCCCTGGGTCAGAAGATCTCCTGGAGAAGGAAAGGGCAACCCATTCCAGTATTCTTGCCTGGAAAATCCCATGGACAGAGGAGCCTGGTGGGCTACAGTCCAGGGGGTCACAGAGAGGGGCTTCACTTAGTATGCAATGAAGTATTAATATAAAAAATAATGGAGGGGAGGGATGGTAAGCAAGATGGGAGGGAGGTTCAAGAGGGAGAGGTATACCTATGGCTGATTCATGTTGATATTTGGCAGAAAACAACAAAATTCTGTAAAGCAATTATCCTTCAATAAAATTAATAAAATCAGAAGAAAAAATAGTGGAAAGTGATCCTCTGACAGATATATGTATACTGCCAACCAGCATCCAGAAGCTATTGTTTAGACCTTTGTGATGCGGGAGGAGTGGATTAAACAGTCTGGTTCAGTGGTTTTCGAACTTAGTGGACATCAGAATCAACCCACCCCCAGAGTTTGTGACTCAGTGGATCTGGGGTGGGACCCCAGGGTTTGCCTTTCCAAAAAATGTCCAGATCCTGCTGCTGCTGACTTAAAGCCCAGCCTTTTGAGTATCACCAGTATGATATATGTTTTCTACCCTTTTTTGTAAAGCAGTCAAAACTTTCCTCAGGTGAAATATCATTGTGATAAAGAAATCGAATAAAACCCGATGCTGAGGTCAGGTCCTGGGGGTCTTGAGCTGCTCACTCTACCTGCTTTCCTCAAATCCTCAGCAGACCTAGAGAGAACCTGGATTTCATAGAATTATGCTACTTACAAAGTTATAGACAACACATATAATTGTTCTGTTGTTATGTACACCAGGGTTAGCATAGATTGTAAAGAATCGGCTTCTGGGTGTATATTCAAAAGAAATGAAAACACTATCTACAAGAGATAGCTGTACTTCCCTGTTTATTTCTGCATTATTCACGATAGCTAAGTCATGAAAACAACCTATCAACAGATGAATGGATAAAGAAAATGTAATTACACACACACACACACACATACACACATGCTTGTACACATAATGGAATATTATTCATCCATAAAAAAGAAGAAAATCTTGCCATTTGCAACAGCATAGATGGATCTTGAGGGCATTGTGGTAAGTGAAATGGGTCAGATAGAGAAAGACAAATACTGTGTATTTTCACATAGATATGAAATCTAGAAAAGCCAAGCAGAAATAGAGTAGAATGGTGGTTGCCTCATGCTGAGGCCTGGGGGAAATAGGGAGATGTTGGTCAAAGGGTCAAACTTCCATCTATAATAAGTTCTGGAAATATAATACAGCATGGTGGCTAGAACAATACTGTGTATATACTCTTAAGAGAATAGAGCTTAAATGTTATCACCACACACCAAAAATATGGTAATTACGGTAAAGAAGTTGTTAACTACCTTTATTGTGATAATCATTTCACGATATATGTATCAAATTATCATGCTGCACACCTTAAACTTACATGTATTGTGTGTGAATAATATCTCTGTAAAGTTTGGGAATCAGAAAAAAATTCTTAAAGGGACACAGACCCCCATAGTCCCAAGAATCTAGCTTGTCACTAAAAGGTGGAGGGAGGAATCAGGCTTGAAGCTTGTTTATTCACTTTCCCCTTTGTTTTCTAGATCTCGGCCATGTATTCATCAGTGCATAAAAAAGGACAGCCAGGCAACAAATCAGGACAGTCACTTAAAGTACCCGAGGCCTCCTACACCTCCATGCAAGGAGCTGCTCCGAGGTCCCCCTCTTCCTGTAACGATCTCTATGCCACTGTTAAAGACTTTGAGAAGATGCCGAATAGTGTCAGCACACTTCCAGCAGCAGGCAGGCCCAGCGAGGAGCCTGAGCCAGATTATGAAGCAATACAGACTCTAAACAGAGAGGAAGAGAAGGCTGCCTCAGAGACCAACAGTCACCATGGCCTTTGCCCAAAGGAGAATGATTACGAGAGCATCGGGGACTTGCAGCAGCAATGCCGAGATATCACCAGGCTCTAGCAGCCTGGAAAGGACCCAGCTAGCCTAGGACCAGCCGGCAAAGCCAGGGCTGCTGCAGAAGACAAGAAGCGACGTCAGCCACACTTCATATGCTGCTTTAGGAAAGGGAAGCCGATCGGAGATGCCAGGACTGCTTCTCAGTTTGGGGAGAAATGAGGGAGGCCCCCTGCTGCCAGGGCCCTGGTAGACCCAGGCACGCCTGTGTCAAGCACCCACACCCTCTGGAAGGATCCCGGCTGTCAGCCGTCTCACCCTCTCCATGAAGAAAGCCACGCGGTGAGAAAGAATGACATTCAAAAACCACAGCTCATCTGCCTGAAACACTGCCATTCACAGGAGCTGGGTTTCTCTCCCTCTCTCCTCTTCGCTGCCTGCTACTGATAGTTAAGATGAATGGCATTTTTCTCTTTGACATCTTCCGATTTATAATGGCTCATTCCAAGGATTTTCTCCCACCAGGCTGGGCCTTTGCCTTCAAGTGGGTGTTTTCCGTTGCTGAGAAATTGTGGTTGCTATTTCCGGTCTGCTCCCCAGCCCCTTCAAAGAGCTGCACCTGGGAACCCAAGCCCCCAACCAGTGGGGACGCCCCTTGGGTTTCCTAGCTCTTCATTCCTTCTGATTTGGGCACTCCATGTCAGTAGCCTCTTCCAAAGTACTTGAAGTCATTGTTAGATGCTTTATTTTATTTTTATCATCAACATGGTTTTTTTCCCCCCAGTGTTTGAAACTCTTCAGTCTTTTCAGTATTTTCAAAGAATATCATGGTACTTCTATACTTGTTTTAGTCCAGCTCATTCTTCCAAAACAGAGAGCCTTAATCTCCCCGTTGGGACACAGACCACGTGTTTGGGTGGCAGCCCCAGCATCCATCTCTTCCCAAGGGCTGTGGACTTGAATGTGTATTTCTGATGATCTCCGCTGCCACACTGACGGTGCAGGAGTTCATACATGAACTGCTCCCCTAAGGTAATCTATCTGAGATTAAAATATAAACATTTATTTTTGTTATATAAATTTATAAGGTATTTTATGTTTAATGCCTAATTTCTAGAAAGTGCCAGATAAAATATATATTAACTATTTTGATTTGATGTACAATGATTTATAGTCTCATTTTGAAAAGACACCATAAAGCACATAAGCTTGTACCAGTAGTTGTTATCTTTTTTCTAACCAAGTGTTTAAAACATGGAAGGTTTTTAAAGACGTGACTTTTCAAATGGTACTTAGAGCTCTTGGTCAAAAATCAGCTGACTCATTGGAGAAATAAGTGGAATAAACATAAATGATCATCTTCAATGGTTTGTGGTAGGCAATAGTGAAATATTTGAAATGGTAAAAATGGAAAGAGGAACAAGATATGACTAGGGATGACTGACGATTAACCTTATGAAAGTATTATGATTCCATTAAGGTTTAGGTACATTTTTAAGAAAACGGTGATGAATTCTGTAGCCTGGTGCTTGCAAATGTAAATTGCCTGTTGGGATTTTTTTTTCCCCTTCATTTTATAAAAATCAGTGGCTGAAATAACTCAGATTGAGAGCTCAGCCTGGTTTGAATTTAATCATCTCTTTAGATTTTATAAGGCCGACATTGGGAAAGTTATTCACTTTTCATTTTAAAAGGAACCTGGTTGAAGTGCTATTATGTAGTGTAGGCTACAGAAAAGAAGCTTTTCCTACACTGTAAAGAAAAAAAAAAAGGCAATTATTCCTTACCGCTGTGACATCTGCGACTTTTCAGATTGAATAATCTTACTGTTTTCACTCATTAGGATAAAGAATGCAGTTGGGAGGATGAAGCATCTTGAAAATTGTAGGGACCAGCTCCCGGGCATGTTTTTTTTCCATTCCTTGCATTCATGGCTTGATTTTGTGACTGCTCTGTAATACGTTTCTGCAATTGTAAAATAGCTCAGTTGGGGTAAATGGTTTGCTTGTTATTTTCCAATCAGCCTGGTCTCTCCCATGAAGACTTTATGTGCATAAAAGCACAATCATCATTGATCAAAAGATCATGGGAGAATAACCTTGGATCAGGGAGAAGTTTATCAGAAAGATGCAAGGCCCATACTCTGAATTCATCTCCTTTGTAAGCACTGGTTTGCCCAGTGATTCTCATTGCTTATTATGAATGAGTCTGACCCAACAACCTCAGTATCATGGGGTTGCTTTGGCACCTGCTGACAGCCACATCACACTGCTCACCCAGCCTTGTGCATGCTGCAGTCACGTCCTTTATGAGCCCCTGACTGCTCAAAAGTTGTAGTTCATGACGTCTCACTTACGACCAAGGAAATGGGTATGTTCTCTAAAGAGTGAAGCCATTTCTAGATAGGGAAGCTCTTTATAAATAGTCATATCATTTTGAAATTTCATTATCAGAATTCCCCCAGAAGTTTCAAAATAAGGGCTATGCCTTATGGCCGTAAAGTGTGCAGTGAAATCTCTCTCTCAATTGGAGAACCTGTGCTAAGAATAAGTTGTGATGTAAAGTATTAAAAGAGAACTGTAAGGGCCTTCAGAACACATCCTGAAAGAGTAAGTAATAGCACAATCCCTGAGGGCTAGGGGGTGAGAGACGCAGAGTGGACTTTGGGAGATGGCTCTGCTCTTTAGACCATTAGGTACCTTACTGAAGTATTTTTATTGATGTAGCATCACTGTTTTAACCCTATAGTACAGTATTTCATAAATTTCATCACTTTTTAAAAATTTTATTTGTTGAAACTTATGCTAGAATCTTTAGGTTGGAAGCCTATGGTTTCTTTAAAAAGTTTTCATCTTAAAAGCTACGTAGTTTAAATGTATGAAAGGTAATTATCAAGAAAGAATGAGTTTACTGTATCTTTAAAATTCAATTTGACATCCATATTATGTATGCATTGAACTATAATAACTAGGTTATTATAATCTTGCCTAGGATCTTTGCTTTTATTCATGTATTTTGAAAGTTTCAAAGAACTTTTTACTGATTCTCAGATATTGTCTGCCAGCAGGGAAGTGTAACCTGTGTTATGTGAAATGTTTGAGGAGATTTTAAATTCTAGGAGAAAGTAATTTTTGCACATATCTTTGCCACAAATATTTTTTTTTCCTGCCCTTCACTAAATTATATCATTGGGATTATTAAAGCTTTTGAAGGTGCCACTCTCCTTTGTAGGAAAAAGGCTAATTACTGATTTATCTGCCCTTAAAATCTGAGCATTGATTCTAATTGAGTGCTAGATTAACAATAGGTAGCTAGCAAAAACAACTGAAATTTAACCTCAGCATGTTACTAGATCTAGCTCTCATATTTGATTTTAATTTTTCAAATTAGAGCATTTACTTACTTTTACCAGTAACTATATATATAGGGCTTCCCTGGTGGCTTAGACTGTAAAGAATATGCCTGCAATGCGGGAGACCCAAGTTTGATCCCTGGGTTGGGAAGATCCCTTGGAGAAGGGAATGGCAACCCTCTCCAGGATTCTTGCCTGGAGAATGCCATGGACAGAGGAGCCTGGCAGGCTACATACACACACGTATATATATGCACATGTATATATATATAAAGTCACTCTGGTGCTTAATTAATTAGGATACATCCTGTCATGTATTTTGAATGTTTATCCTACTAGTGTGATGACTATTGTCATAAAAGCAGAACAGAAGAAAACAATTGTCCAGTCATTTTCTTTTTTCCCCAATCATTTTCATTTGACAGTTAGCGGAAAACCTTCTCAACTGGCCCTCAGTGAATTTCTCCAGTTAACGAATTCAGATTTTAAACTATGCCCACCGTTCTCTTAGCTGAAAAACAGTGGTGTGTTTAAACAGTGTTATTCATGCAGCTCCCTAAATATTCAACCTGACAGAAGGAAATGAAAGTAGGTGTCCTTCTCAGACAGGTATTTGAGGAGAGATTTGGCCGAAGGCAGCAAGGGCCATGTGAGCCAGGATAGTGACCACCCCCACACACAACCAGGTGGCAAAAGCAGGGCCCATTATCACCTGCAGGTATTGACTTCGCTGTCTCCAGGAACTGAGATTTTAGCACAGAATGAACAGCAGTGGTGGAGGATCACGTGCTGCTCTGAGATGGTGACATATCATGGCTAGAATCTCAGAGCCTCAGTTCAAGACTGATTTAGGACTTTGTAAATGAGTAAATGCTCCTGGTAATAGTTGCTCTGAGTCCGTGTGGTCTAGTGATGCCATTCTGAAAGTGCTGATTTCTGGTACCAACCAGCTTAGCTTTGGTTGCTGGAAGCACAGTAGGTACTGATGGTTATTTCCTGGAAATCTTGACAGGCTTATTGTACTGTGTAACTGGGAAAAGTTAAAGTGTAATGTTTGGTGTTAATAAGTGACTAATGTGAAAATAGGAACATGTGTCTATAATATCAAATATGGCTTTATTTGCAGTGAAGTCTAAATTCTTTGTCCTGTAGTAGTATTTTCTTGCTCTGTGTTGTAGCTTTTCTTAAATATATTATTTCTGACAGTATCACTAGACAAGTTTTACAGACTTAGAATATGTTTGACTTTAAGAGATCAATCCAGAAACTGTGTTAGAGTCTTCGTCTGGAATTACCAAAGTAAATTAAATAAAATCATGGTCTAGAAGAGAACATACATTCATAAATGGTTTTTTACCCCTACTACTCATTTTGAAGCTGTGTTTACATGCAGTCTCCAATACTTATAAAGTATTTCATTGTTTTTCTAGGTTCTTCTTTTATTTAACTAGGAAATTGTAGTTCAGATTTTTCCTAATGACAGATGACATGAGAGATACATTTTTTGCTTTAAAAACGATTTTTTTAAAGCATTATTTTGGTTATCATCTATCTTAATGCAGTTAGATTCAACTTTTCTTTGCTCACCACTTCCATATTGTGAGTGTTTTTTAAAAATGTGGCTCAGATGGTAAAGAATCTGCCTACAATGCAGGAGACCCAAGTTCGATCCCTGGGTTGGGAAGACCTCCTGGAGAAGGGCATGGCTACCCACTCCAGTGTTCTTGCCTGGAGAATCCCATGAACAGAGGAGCCTGGTGGGCTACAGTCTATGTGGTCGTAAAGAGCTGGACACAACTGAGGGACTAACACTTTCACTTTCACTTTTAAAAATGTATTGTGCTCTATCTCAGATCACTCCCTCTAACTTATTTATAAAGGCTGGTAATTGTCATTCCTCAGACTTCTGTATGTTAAATTGGCAACAGTAAATTGTTTTAATGTTGTTACCTTTAAAATTTTGCACTGTATTAACATGCCTCATGTTTTCAGGGGAAGTTTGAAATATCACTAAACAATAGGAATTTGCATTTCACTGTGCATGCATTTTTTTCCCTCATAAAAATGGTTTCCAAAAAAAGTAACATATTGTCTGTTAGATGGTCCCAATCAGTTTCAAAGTACTCCTCTTACTCAAAATTACTCAAAAATAATTCATGACAGCATCATTGTAACTCCTATCAAAAGGTGTTTGTAATGGTCAAATTTGTCCAATTCACAAAAGAGTGGGAGAGTTGTTTTCAACTTTGTTATTGTTGAGTTGCTACGTCGTGTCTAACTCTTTGTGACCCCATGAACTGCAGTACCCCAGACCCTTCTGTCCTCCACTGTCTCCCAGAATTTGCTAAAACTCATGTCCATTGAGTCAGTGATGCCATCCAACCATCTCATCCTCTGTTGTTCATTTCTCCTCCTGCCCTAAATCTTTCCCAGCATCAGGGTCTTTTCCAATAAGTCAGCTCTTCGCATCAGGTGGCCAAAGTATTGAAGCTTCAGCATCAGTCCTTCCAATGAATATTCAGAATTGATTTCCTTTAGGATTGACTGGTTTGATCTCGTTGCAATCCAAGGGACTCTCAAGAGTCTTCTCCAGCATCACAATTCAAAAACATCAGTTCTTTGGCACTCAGCCTTCTTTACTCTCAGTATTTGGAATGTTTAAAACCTTCTGTCACTTTGCATGGCACCATCTTGGCCCTGTGTGTCTGCTACTCCCAGAATGTTCCAGGCCTTCTTTTCCAATAGCAGTTACAATCTTCAGTATCACAGACCTGCCTGGCAGCTTGGAACCATTCCCCGGCTCTGCCCAGTTCACATTTTACAGCATCAGGGGCTGCCTGGATAAGCCTCAGGCCCACTTGGGGTAGCAGATGCTAGGTGTTATTTGTCAGGAACTTTGCTAGACCATGTAAACCATTGCTTCTTGGCCTTTTCCCTGATGACTCAGTGGTAAAGAATCTGCTGCCAATACAGGAGACACAAGAGATGCAGGTTCGATCCCCAGATCCAGAAGATCCCCTGAGTAGGACATGGCAACCCACCCCAATGTTCTTGCCTGAAAAATTCCATGGACAGAGGAACCTGGTCAACTGCAGTCCATGGGGTTGCAAAGAGTCAGACATGGTTTAATGAGCACAGTACACCAATCATGTATACTCTTGCCCACGTCTTTTGTGAGATGTGGTTGGCACTAAAGGGCCAATGAAAAAGAATTTTTAAAACATTCTGTTGAGGATTCAAACTCACAAATGTAAAAAAAGGAACACTGTGCCCTCACCGGGTAAGTTCACAGCCCCTACAATGTGCTGATACTGAAGGTAAATCCTGGAACAGCAGACCAGTAGCTACCGGTAAAGTAGAAGGACACTGATTGTTTTAGGAGGGAGGTGGGGAAAACCCTTTCCTATAAGAAAGAATCACTTCTAAAGTATACTGAGTGTAACATTTTCTTAAAATCCTGTAGCTATTACACCCCACCCCTGGGAAATAGTGCTTATGAGTTATGTTGCTGTAACTAGTTTGAGCTGCTCTCCTAGGTCTCAAGGAAATGAGGATAGTGTTCAAGCATCTGAAGTTACCAGATGTTGAAAATAACTTGGCCATTTATAGATGAAATCTCCAACATTTGGAGTCCATGGGTGATTCAGTGACTGAGGGCCTCTGTTTCTATACACCCGAGGATCCAGGCCGGGTTTAGTTTTCATTTTTTTTTTTAAACTTCACTCCCATCATGCTAAGGTAGTGTTTGACTTAAAAGAGATCATTCCAGAAACTGTGTTAAATTAGAGTCTTCATCTGGAATTACCAAAGTAAATGAAATAAAATCATGGTCTAAAATATGTATTCCAGTGTAATTATTTTCCAAATTAACAGAACAGGTATCTCTTCATTTTCATTATACATTTAATTATTGAAAGCCTACCTGCTATACCCATTAGGCACCCTTCACAGGATAATTAAGGCTAAAAGAGACCAGTCTTGGCCCCTGGAGCCTGCACTTCAGAACTGGCTTGTTGTAATGTCTGGTTTAATTTTGTTTTGTTTGTTTTTTCACTCAGCATGTGGGAAACCATGAGTGTAAACAGACTCTTTCCTTTTCCTTTTTTACGCTTAAGGAAAAAAAGAAATGTAATTTTAGCTCCCATTTAGGTAGTAAAGGTTTCCCTGACAGACAGCGGTGCCTTTCCCTAGGCGAAGAGACTAGAACCAAAGGCTTTAGTCGGTCTCTGAACATTCCTTTGACAAGTTTTCATGTATTTTTAATGTGAAACCCATAAATGAACCTGGCATGATGATCGTGACCCAGCCAGTAAGCTTGCTTGCTTTTTTCGCATTCATCTTTTTAAATATAAGCTTCCCTTGTTTTACCTGGAGCCATACTAGAAACTGAATTCCTGTGGGCCACGCCACGGCTGCCTGTTGATGTCCTGGAAGCTTGGCAGCACCGTTGGCAGTGCTCGCCTCAGAGGGAGAAGCTCGTGGAATGTGTTGGGAAAGTTGGATTTTACATCCAAGTCAACAAATGTTTGAAAGAGTCCTGTATGCCTCAGATTTTGACACTTTTTTTTAAATTATTTTTTTCTGAGTACTAACTACATATTTGATTTGGGGTAGGGTGGAGTGGAGGGCTGGCAGAGCAGGGATTAGAAGTAAAATCTGAACTAATGATGTGGGCATGACTTCCGGCCCCTATGTATGTGACTCTGGAAACTGTCTAATTCCAACGGACTACCTACCACTCTGAGTCTCTTAAGGAGCGCACTGTAAATGTGTATAAGACTGAGAAAGGTGATGTTAAAGACATAAATTATTGTTTAGGTATTTTCTTCTTTGTAAACTCAGAAAGAAGCTTATGGCTAGCACGAGATGGCTACTAAAGACATAATTTGTAGGTTACTAGGAACAACCTTTCAAATATGTTTCATTCCAACTTTTTGTAAAACTGGGGAAAGAACCTCCTAGTAATGAAAAAACAAAACCAATAAGAAACTTCCATAAACACTTTCTAAAAGAGCATGAGTGCTAAGTCATTCTCCAGGCCAGAATACTGGAGTGGGTAGCCTTTCCCTTCTCCAGGGAATCTTGGCATCAGTCTCACATCTGCCCTAGAATGTTTGCTTCTTGCC